TTCAAAACACAAGGCAGCAATTCAAACATGCATCTGAGCCCTAATCCATGAATTGAAACACCATAAGGGCTTCATCTCTATTAAAAAAAAGGACCATAAGGGCTTGCCTATATGTTTTCGGCCTATGCATCCTTGTGCACATTCAGCAGGGCAACAATTAAATGGATTTCAATGAAGGCCCAAACTCTAGTACATTTCACGACATATTTCTGAGCCTTTTCTGAAAAGATTTCAGTTTCTTAGCTTATTAGTTCAGATCATCATTGACAATATTAACGTGTTAAATGTTCCTCTCTTCACCCCCCCCCCCCCCCACACACACACACAGAAATAAAACTCAAAACACCACCAACCCTCGCTCTAGAGGCTGGTCTTCCAAATACAATAAAAGTGATTTGTAATGTCAACTATCACACATTTTTAAGTTTGATTTTAATATATATTAGGAATGCTATATTAAATCCACATTGGTTGAGTCCAAAGAAATGGAACTTACGGATTAAAATCTGGATTTAATGGACACTACATCCACAGGTTTCAATGGATTCTGAATTTATTTTTAAAATGATGAAAAGAATTTTGAAGAACAACAAAGAAACATAAAACCAATTGAAAATTCACCAGAAACAAAGTACTCAAATTTCAACTCCTAACCAAGCTAGAGACAGATAAGAAAAAGTAGAAGGAAAACAAACAGAGATTGAGAGGCCATAAAGGGAATGCTAGCAGTTCAACAAACCAATTCGAGTAGCTCAGCTAAGACAGAGAAACAGGTATGTTAGTGGTTCGTCAAAGATGATAATGAGAGAAGCAACCCACTAAAATGGGGGTCATTCAACCAAGGGAGTGTTCCAAGCGAGTCATTTTAAGTGATTCCTCCTGGCATCTAAAGTAAGCTCAAAAAAGTTGGCTAAAATCAAGTCAAGTTATGCATTTGGAGTTAATGGTCCACCTAAATGGGGCACACTTTTTTTTAAAATCGAAAATGCCAAAACTTGTGTTATAACTTCGATGAAAATAACTGAATTACCACAATATCCCCAATTTTATGTTTTATGGATGCTACCTCAAACCTACGGGCCAGCTTCTTGTGTTTTCTGAATGAAAACTGACAAAAAGGATACTAGGTGTTACGGTGTAAAGAGTACACTCTAGATACCAAACCCCAACACAACAATCAGCATACTAGTAATTTCCAAGCTTAATTTGCTTAATGTGTATAAAGCAAACACTACGAGCGACAGGTCTTTACTCTTGTATGGAGTAAAAGGGTGTAAAATCAAAGAGGAAGGATTTTTTTTTTCTTCCACTTAGAGAGGACAATGTACACCTTCACAACCACATCAATCTTTTGGTTCCTCAAATAACTAGCCAGAGAACGTAAATCTCTTTTATTTTACCTTCAATACAACAACTAAGCAATGTAGACCAATCAGTGACATCCAACCAATGCAAATGTCACTTTTTTTCCTTTTTCCTCAAAGGGTGATTGACACGATTAACAATGCGCACACATATCCGATGAAAATTGAGATCTAACTATGCTTTAAAATAGTTTCATTATTTAGGAAGGGAGGTGAATGAGCAGTTGAGCACATGCAAGAGCAACTTATCATTGAAGGCTTGCTTGAGGCATACTTGACCCTAAATATAGTTGAAACCTAAGTTGAGCACTTCACTTTTAGGCAGCACTCCAATGTAAGCACCAAAGTGCTAAGGCATATGTCTGATCGTTCATGGGCTCTCTTTGGGGACATCATGACAACAAATTTAGTTTTTAAAATGTTTTATTATTCTTAAAAGACGTTATAAAATAAGCTTTTTACTGATTAGGAATAAGAAATAGAAACTTAATAAGACAAAATTAGCCACTTAAAACTATATATGCACATCTAAATGAACCAGAACAGTTTTTGAACTCGATTGACATTTTAATTTCAAAGGAAGGTTCCATGGTACATGTTGTTTGCAAATGACATAATACCGATTAACGAGATGTGAAATAGAGTAAACACTAGAGCTAGAGTAAACACAAGAGCTAGCCTGGAGGTTTGGAGGCTGACTCTAGAGTCTAAAGGCTTCAGGTTGAGTAGGAATAAAATAGAATATTTGGAGTGCAAGTTCAGCGACGTGATTCAGAAGGTTGGCATGGAAGTGAGGTTGAATTCACAAATCAGTCCAAGAGAAGAAATTTCAAGTGCCTTGGATCAATAATACAAGGTAACGGGGAGATCGACAAGGATGTAACACATCGAATTGGTGCGTGGTGGATTAAATGGAGGCTAACATCTGGTGTCTTGTATGATAAGAACGTTCCACCGAGACTTAAATGTAAGTTCTACGGAGTGGGAGTTAAACCGACTATGTTGTATGGGGCAGATTGTTGGCCTATCAAGAACTCGCATGTCCAGAAGATGAAAGAGGCAGAGACGACGATGCTAAGATGGATGTGTGCACATACTAAAAGGGATATGGTTAGAAATAAAGTTATTCGGGGCAAGATAGGTGTCGCTTCCGTGGTGGACAAGATGCGGGAAGCGAGGTTGAGATGATTGGGACATGTGAAGGGGAGATGTCTGGGTGCCCCAGCGAGGAGATGTGAGATTGACTGTAGTGGGCCTGGAGAGAGGCAAAGGTAGGACGAAAAAGTACCGGGAAAGGTGATTAGGCAAGACATGACGCATCTTCAGCTTACCGAGGACATGACCCTTGATAGGTGAGTGGAGGTCAAGAATCAGGGTAGAAGGGCAGTAGGGAGTCTAGCCTCTTTCCTTTCACCCCAGTAGTGGTAGTGTTATTCTCATATTTACATATTGTTAGATTTCTGTTATTATCTGACGATGTTGAGTTTCGATTTTACTATTATCATGTCGTCATTATTGTGTCTTTTGACTTTTTCACTACTGCATATCTTTTCTTTATACTGTTGTGATAATGCATGCTTGCTTTGAGCCGATGGTCTTACTGAAAACAATCTCTCTACCTACACAAGTAGGGGTAAGGTTGCGTACTTTCTACCCTCCTTAACTCCACTTGTAGAATTACACTGGGTATGTCGTTGCATTAAAAAAAACTTTTTTTTTGCATTACATATTTATTTAAAGTTTCTACATTAGTGCCTTTCTTTGATCATGAAATCTAGGTGTTAGAAAGCTCATTAAATTTTTTCCTAGAACATTCCACAACCCATACTTTGAGTAGAAAAGTAGAGCATTCTCTTAAAAATTCAAACTGGGGAGTTGATCAAGGATCATTGGTTCAATAGTCAAATCAAGTTCAAGTGACTCGCCATTGAAGAAGTAACATCATAGGGATGCCATAAAATATTTAATTGCATTATTTTTGTTAAGGAATTTGCACATTAAAACCAAAATCTTAAACCTACGGGTGGAGTGGCCAAAACATTATAAACAACTTTTGGAAACCCTCACACAACCAATAAGGAAAGCATATCCTTCAACACCGGGGGTTTATCGTTTACACATGGATTTCTAACGATCTCTTTTTTTTCTTTTTTCTTTTTTTCCTGTTTGCACCCTTTTTAGAAGACTGAAAAATGTAGCTAAGAGGAAGAAACAGCAGACTAAAGAACGGGCTTGAAGTTGGGGGAAACAGTATGCTCAACAGAATGAGCTTAGAGCAAAGATAGTGGCTCAATCGGCTAGACTGAGAACAAGAGAGAAGCCCAAAACAAACGGATAGTAGAAAATTGTGGTTGTAAAACCAAACTTACCAAAGTTTGGTTCTAATAACGTGTAAAGAAAATGTGCCTTAGACCTAACTCAACCCAAAAAGATAACGGCTACCGTGAAAATTATCTGAGACCATATAAAGAGACAACTCATTGCTATGTGGGATACTTAACAACTCCTCCTCTTCATACGCTCGGTACTATACATGTGGGACGCAGACAACATAGAGTCCCAACATTGGGTAAACAAAGAATTAAGATGGGTTGCAGCAAAGCTAATGGCTCAATAAGGTAAAACTAAAAGAGAAGCCAAAAGCGAATGAATATTACAAAATTGCAGTTGTGACAACAGACATACCAAAGTTTAGTTTTCAAACCTAGTGAAAGAAAATGAGCATCCAAACCCAAGACCAAGGGCAACAGGTGGAATTACCCAAGACATTGTAGACATCTTTGGTAAGACTTACACAACCAATAAGGGACAAGCATACCTTAAGACCCTTACGTATGTGTTATCCAATTCTAAAGTTCAAACGTGAATATTTAAATATGTTTCACTTTTTGTTTTCTTTTTGTTTTGATCTATATTTTTAGGAGACTATAGAATGGACGTGGTAGAGAGCATGCGAGAATGCACTAAAAGTTAACGAGAGAGTAGACTCGATAAACTCAAGAGTGAGCATGCTCAACAAACTACATTGTAATCTTACAGCAAAATACTGGCACAATGAGATGAATTGAGAAAACGAGCGAAGCCCATGGCAAATGGATAGCATAGAAACAAAATTGGGGAAACAGGTTGATACCAATCTGAGTATGCAACCCAAAACCTTTAAGTAATGAGTGGGAAACCTTATAAACTCTGGATATTATAAACTCTTCTAGGAAACCTTAGAGAACCACTAGGATACGAAGCATCCAACCCGAAACTTAAGACTATGGGGAGAGTGGCTAGGGCATTATAAACTCCATTGGAAACCCTTACACAACAAATGAGGGATAATTATATTTGTTCACAATTTTTTAATATTCAAAACAATTTGAAAGACACCTTATATTTTAGTCTTAACCCAAATAAACAATTTAATGCCTCTTGTCCCGCACAACAAATACTCCAACACCGCACTAGATCCAACGACAAACATAAAACACCTAATAAAAAATAAATAAAAGAATTTGTAGTTACGAGAAACATAAATTGCTCGAACACGGGTGCGAGTGTCTGACACAGGTGCAAATCTAGATGTCCGATCCTTCTAAATGTAAATTTTAGATTTGGGGATAAGGATCCTAGTAAGGATATGGGTGCGGGGATCCGGCTACAAATAATTCAAAAATATAAAAATATCTCTAAATTATGAGAAATTTTGTGCAGTACTTATGTATAGCTTGTAAAGTGTGAATTTCTTTTTTATTTTCAAGTTGTAGATAAGTAAAAGATCGATTTCCTAGATAATTCTTCAAATCTAACCAAGTTTTGGTTGTGATTTAGAGAATCAAATTGTATTTCATCTCGAATTTTTCCATTCGTGGTCAAAGTACCCAAAATTGTTTGACCAGATCCGACACAGATCCATACGCACACCCATACCAGCGTCGTGTCGACATGGGTACGACACCTAAATGACATGTTAGAGCAACTTGGCGAGAAACATAGGAAAATGATTAGAAAAGATAGAATGCTTCGAATTGCAAAATTTCTTTGCAATAATAAAACTACAAAAATAGAAACCCACAACATGCAATATTGACAAATAACGAGAGCGATCGCCAGTGACAAAGTGAATATACCATAAACTTAAAAATATGATACTGAACTTGGACGCTGAATTTGCTAGCATGAGACACAGAGATTGCTAGTCAAATAGTAGTCAACCGCTGATAGGTTAAAGACAATGATATTGAACGTGAATGCTGAATTTTCTAGCATGAGAGACAAAGATTGGTCGAATAGTAGTCAACGTTGAGAGGTTAAGACTCTTGGCTATGCATCACATATTCGTCTCATTTTCGAGAGAGATGGATAGATCCAATAAATAAAAAATTGCACGAGTTAGAGCTTTTCATGAATAATCAGTGTAATCAAAGGCGAAGAGCGCAAAAAAGCTCTAAGGTCCGTTGGGGCTTTAAGCGCAAAGCGCAACTAAAGCGTGGGTTTTAATGAAAAAAGGTGCAGTTGGAGAAAAAGTATTAATATGGATATGTAGTCCAAGACTAATAATTATAAGCATTAAAAACAAATATATGGACAAAGAAATTGATTTTTTTTTACGATAAAGCGAAATATCAATTATTTAATGTCGCATTTTCAGGATTACACTCATTGGCAAGGAAAAGTATGCCTTAGAGCCTTGATGCGACACTAAAGCGCCCACAAAGAGGGGCGAAGCGCTCAACATGTTTTGAGCCTCGCTTCAGGGCCTTTGACAACATTGTGAATAATCAAGTCAAATCGTTACCAAAATGGATAGAGAGAGCCGAAAAGGCTTGGCCAGGGAGCAAGACATTGGTTTGAAAGATGGATAAAGAACAACATGTAAAGCTTGTCAATTGTTACTTGAAGAAGGTGGAAAAGAACATGGGAAGCTTGTCAAATGGTCCTTGTTGTAGATTGAAGAAAAATGCAATGCATACCGGAGAAGATTCTTAATCTTATCGAGAAATCAAATATTTTCCGCGGTCATATCCTTATGGCCACCTAAAACACGTGCACCAACCCTCTTCTCCACTCCCTCGCTCGCTCTATTTTCTCCACGTGTGGGTAGACATGTTTTTCATCATTTACACTTGTTTGAGGTGTCGTTACTTCCAATGGAGAAAGATGAACGAGCTACCTACCAAAAATATGAAGGGTAACTTGCTACAGAAGTTAGTTTACAGGACATCCAACAAAATAAACAGTGATAACACTTCTCCCTACTTTTTTATGACGGTGGTAACTAGCCCAGCTTGTGCGTAGTTCTGCTATTCCACCGAATAAATCCTACCTTCCACTAGCAAGGTCGGGGGCAACTCTGTCCACCAAAGCTTCTACAGATGGAAAAAAGATCACCTAGGGCTTGGAAAGTCATCTTGCAATTGGATTTGGGTGTAATACGGTGTAATTACACATTTTGCATGTTTGTCGAACAAAGTCATTGAGAGAGTAATTACACTCTCTAATTCTCAAGGGGAGAATGGTGGTATATGATATTTTAAATTATTATCACTTCTCTTTCAAAAAGACTAAAAAAGGACGACTCTTTCTCTTCCATTTCTTTCCCCCTCACATTTCTATCTCAAAAAATGTGAATGTAGCTGCTAACTCCATGCCACTTATTTCTTTTTCTTTTTTAAGTTTAACTTCCTATAAAACATAGCCGCGTGGAATATGCCTTTACCTTTTACACATTGGGATCATGTTTGAGTTCGAAACGTGATATAATTATGCATTTGGTGACATAAATTAAACTAGGGGTGGGCATTCGGTATTTCGGTTCGGTATTTAACAATTTCGGTTCGGTATTCGATTTATCAATTGTGTATACCAAATACCGTACCAAATTATTTCGATACGGTTCGGTATTTTTTATTTTGGTTCGGTATGGTTTCGGTACGGTTTCGGTTTAATAATCGCTAAATAAACTTATGACCAAAGTATCAGATTCTGGCATTTCCTTATATCTACCCGGATTGGATTATTTGTCCGCAAAATTCCTACTTTAATTTATATCTTTTTTAATTTTTTAATTATAAAATTGAAATGAGTTAAAAGGCGAACACGACATGGAGTTAAAACTGTCGGAGCTCAATCAGATGAGAACATTAGCAACATTCTCTGCAAGCTTCTTCTGGCAACCAGTTGTTGGATTTGCAATGTTAAACTTCATCTTCGAATGTCGGCGAAGATGAAAATGTTGAAGAACGAAATGTTTGGGCTTGGGCAGTTGGGCTAGGAATTAAATCAAAAAATGTTTGGGCTTGGGCGCTGGGGCTGGGCAGTAAAAAAATAACTTAAAAAATTCGGTATATCGAAATTTTAAAATTTTAATACCGAGGACCGTACCGAAATACCGAAGTAGACCGAAATACCGAAAAAACCGAAACCGAAATACCGAATTAATTCGGTCCGGTTTGGAATTCGATTTTTCGGATTTTATGCCCACCCCTAAATTAAACTAACTTTAAGACTAGTCAAACAAGATTTTTCACTTTTGGGAGATTTATTTATTACTTACTAATTATTATTTATTATTCTTTTAACTTTTTATTAATAAATATTATGCTTTATCAAAAGGTCTAAACTAAATTTTTTATATATCTTCCAACTAGACGTGTAAAGATAATCTTCATATTTCATCTAATTACTAGTTTTGTTTTCCATCAATTACTATATATGTTTATTATAGAAAAATACTTTCTAAACTCATATCTATATAATTTTGAATTTGAAAACTACATCATATCATGAATTTCATTATTATATTCACATAAGTTGGTAAAACGTATAAACCCGCTATTCAAATTTTATTAATTCATTCAAGTTAAAGTACTATTAGTTTGGAAGATATCGATTATTATTTAAGATATAAGTTACAAATTATAATTATTTTAATATATTGTTATAAAAATGAATATTTATTTTGAATAAATAATATCTAATAGTTCTTGTATACATATACTAGTCATACATTAAAACTTATTTATGTGTTCATAAGAAAAATATTTGTGTACCATTTTGATAATTAACTCTTATTTTAAAATAAAAATAAGTGTGTAAATACATTCGCATAACCAAACATGACACTAAGAATTACACTGTAAGCTACAACAATATCAAATTCCAATGCAAGCTAGACAGATGTCTGTTTTCATAACAAAAAATCTGGCTCGGGAATTAAAGTGTTTGGAAAAGGGACAATTGAAATTTGAGATAGATTTCATCCAAAATGGCCAATTTTATTAGCAAAACCAATAAAGAATTTGAATCAGAGTGCTCCATGTAGGTCATCATTTCCATTGATGACTAGCAAACTTCGAATGCAAAACATTGAAGAAAAAAAGTATCAGGTTTTCAAAAGATACCCAAATATTACACCAGAGATGTAATAAAATTCAAGGATACTTACTAGAATTGCAGATGCATGCAACCACACCCTAGCAAGACAAAAAGCCATATCAATACCACACATCTCAATGAGGTCTAGAATATATTATTCTTAACGAGCAAACAGCAAGAAATTAAAATTGACAACTCACTGAAACAACTCTCACTTCAAGGCTGCATCTGATCATCTCCAGTCATACAATGCTCCAGGATGACCATACCATGAATCAGATGCAATGCAACTTCATTAGAAAGTGTTTTTGTACAAAGAAATGAAAAATAGAAGAAACAACAATGACTCCAAATAGAAGAAATACTCTAGCTCTTGATAGAATCACTATTCTAGCCTAAGGAGGCTCATTAACAAGCCACCCTCAGGCATGCAGTTTTTCAGGAAAGACCAAATCAAAGTTCAGGAAACAGAACTTGTCAAAAGAAAATTAAAAAGTAACACAAAGGAGAAACAAAAATTATGGCTGATGTTAGAGGAATTGAGAACAGCCATAACATTTTAAGCGTGTCACAGTAATTCCTAACAAACAAACCAAGGTACCTTCGCCAGGGTGCCTTTTAAGCATCTAAATCACTGAATCTTGCCTCAAAGCCCTGGTAGATATCCTGAAGGAAAAAGTAAATTAGACTTTCCAGGACCCAAGGATTCTGAACAGTATGTAAAATGAAGAGACAAGATATTCAATTAAGATGAAGGCCTGAAAACTATGTAAAGTTCCACAAAATAAACAGTTAAATCAGATTGGAAGACAAGAGGTCAAGAAAACTAAAAGTACAGAAAGGGACAAAAAGAGAAAAGATAGACCGCCATCAACAATTCAGGGTAAACAGATATTTAAAAGGTTTATTTACAGAGACATATGAATAACCATGCTTCTGTCAATATCTAATTTGGCGCACGTTACTCTCCGCTCTCAGGACTCGAGCCCAAAGTACAACTTGAGACATGATAACTTTTAAAAAATCTATGAAGATCTTTATAATGTCACCATCAAGAATTAGTACAGAAGGGAAAAACGCCTTTGGCAAGTTATCTTACGATAGAAAAGAAAACATTCCACTGAAAGAATGAACTGCCAAGATATAGATCATCCACGGTCAACAATCTTCTCTGCAACTTCAACCATGCCAAGCTCCAATGCACTTAACTCAAGATAGTAGATAAAAACAGATAAGGCCCATTGATTAGAGAACTGAATATAAACTTAAGATCATATGATCATAATGCAGTAGCATCTAGTGCAACCGTATGTCGCTAGCAGAAAATCATCGTTTTCATTCACTTGCCCGTGATGAATGGGTGGCTCAATGCCTGGGAAACAGTTATTCTCTTGTCTGGGTCTAATACGAAGATTCTCTCCATAAGATCCTTAAACTGAGCTAACATCTTCGGGTCTTCACCCGGAGAACCTGAAATTATTGAACTGATATCTTTTGGCTTGATGTTGACAATCAGCTTCCTTATAGCCTGTGAAGCATACAATTGCAACCAAATTAATATACAGCAAGTTATCATTAATGACTATCAATGGTTAGTTTATCGAGGAATGACAAGACAGGCCAAAGCCTACAAGAAATAACCTTCTTTGTAACAGGATCCTCTTCGGTGGCAAGAAAATTGAGATCTTGGTCAAAATGTTGATCTGTAAATGCACCCTGAAATAAACGAAGAACAAAGAGAATTAATGTTTCTCTATTGACTATATCATGTCAATTATTCAGAAAGGTGCAAAAACTAAAAAAAAGCAGCACCTAATGCAATCACCTTAGCAGAATTGTCCACAGCAACTAATAACCAGGCTTATAACTTCAAATCATAAAAATTTCTAACTAGATTAGGGTAATATAGAGAATGTCTAAGACAAACCTTTCTAAGCATCTTCTTCGGAAATGGACCTTTCAATTCCATATGAAGACGAAGCATGTCATTATTAGTTGCGCCTGGAAATAAGACTTTCCCAGCATAAAGCTCAAACAAACAGCATCCAACTGACCATATATCCATTGGATGATCGTACGACAAGCCAAGAACTGCAACAAAACATAATACAGAACTTAATCAAACAAAACCACAATTCACAGAACTACATAGGATCACGTTCGAGCTTTGAACAAAAAACAAAGTGAAAGGGAAGTCCCAAAAGAAAAGCAAATCATGAGAATTGATGCTTACTGATCTCTGGGGCACGATAAAAACGGCTCACGAGGTATGGAGTAATTTCGTTTTTGCCAGCAAACATAGCATTACCAAAGTCACAAAGCTTCAACACTTTTTTTGATTCATTTACCTAAACAAGTAAATACAGAAAAGTCAAAATATATATACAGATAAAGGGAAGCAAGGTAAATAAAGCTACTCTCAGCAGATGTGAGATGAAGAATACTCAAACCATCCCACTTACCAACATGTTGTCGGGTTTAATGTCACAGTGAAGCACGCCACAATTTTTTAGATGCTTCAAAGCAATGAAGAGTTGCTTCGAAAACGCCCTAACAGCAGTGAGATGGAGTCCAATGTTACGCCCAAACTTCTTCAGAACCTCACGGAGATTCATATGTAGAGACTCAAAAACTAAACAGAGATGATTCCGGTACTTGAAGGTAGAAATAAAACGAACACAATGGCGCTTGTCTTCAGGATCTGCACCAACTAGCTTCTTCAAAATGATCAACTCTTCCATACCAGCTTTATACCTAACAAGGACGAAAACAGCACGATTAGGCCACCAGAACAAGCAAGGATAGCACGAAATGGGGAAATAAAAAAGCTTACATTGTTTCATTATTGCGTATCATTTTTATTGCTACTTCCTCAGGGTCACCAGGCCTAGCCTTGAGATCTTTAGCACGAACAACAGTAGAAAAGACTCCTTTACCATGAGCAGCAACAATCTCATAACGGTCATCAAGAATTTCTCCGAACCGATAACCTGCAAGCAAACAAGAAGACATGAGACATCAACTAAGACAACAGTTTTCAGCCACCAAGAAAAATATCAAAATAAGATGTTATTAGAATCTAAGTGGATCGGGTTTCAATCACCTATTTCTCGAATACACAAGTATAAGCCCCAAAAGATTATGTCGAAGACATTATCTGGATCAACTCAAACTCAAAATATTTTTATCGCCTCAAACTATACTTTAATCTATTTGCACAGAATTCTTTCATTGTTTAAATTTATCATTACTATTTTTGTGTAAAATTATTTATTTTATTATTTTTAAAATTAATTTAAAGTATAAATACTCTCGTACTATCTACTCTATTCTTTACACATTCTTTTCCCAATTATGATATTTTAATTAATTTTTTAAAATATACTTCCGAGAAATTGTTGGTTGAAACCCAATCCCCTTAGACCCTAATAACATCTTATTTTGGTCAGTGTTGCATGGTTCTTAGTCCCAATAAAGAGGAGACCATTTAGTTTGGTCACCATCCTTAAACAAAAAAGTGAAGAAATTAAAGCACAGTGACAAAATTCCCATATTATCTACATCCATCTACAAACTTAAATTCTGTCCCTTCATGCCATGACTATCAGAATACTAAGTCACATAGAAAATAGGGAACTCCGCGGATGATGGGAGGCATAATATCAACTAGAAAAAAAAATCTCAACTTGAAATATAAAACAGGAGAGGACATTTTTTCCGTAAGTACTTTGTGTCTGTGGACCTGAATAAACGCAGTATTATGATTAATCAACAGAAGTAAACAGAGAATTGATCAGACGTTACTCAAAATTTATCAAGCATCTTCAAATAACAATTAACATGTAGAAGGAGACTATCATGATCAAATATCAAGGAATATGGTGGCACGTATCAATGTAGTAGCGCCAGCATGCTCTGAAGTAAAAGCTAAAATATCAAGGATCCAGGTAACAAGTGAGATGAGATACTTACTATAATACCCTTCCGGATCATCCCAGTTATCATGAAGGCCACTGCGCTGAACTGCCACGCCATCTCCTTTGCCCTGAAAGACGACAGACAAAACCAGAGAAACATGAAATCCATGTACTTCTTACATAGACAAGGAAAGGACTTCACATAAGCACAGTACACAAGTTTCCCACAGTTTCAGTACGAGTAACAAAGAAAGAAAACAATCCTCTTTTCCACTCTCTTGTTGGCCGCAGTTCTGTAATTGTTTGGGCAGCATGGAGCAAGTAGAGAAACTTATAGAATCCAGAGTACAAACAATAGACTATTATTAGACATCACACTTTAAACTGAATGTATTACAAAGTCTTCCACAGCTAAAATAAACACATACACTCCCCCACAGTATGGACAGAAGGAGCAACTCTCAAGTCTCAGCTAGAAACATAATAAAGTGAAAGCTATTTCGTAGTCATCATTTCCAAAATGGTTCCCCATTTTGTCACTTTGGGGTCAGCAGGAAAGAAAGGGATGCTCACACCTCACCGTTTGTTCGAATTCGAAAAACTAAACACCATTCCTCTAATAGAGAACCCCAACAATATATCCTAACAGACAAAGAGAGAACAATACCAGCACATAATCCCATGAATACAATCAAGAGGCACAAGAAATCAGTGAGATGGCCAAGATAACAAGTGCTACTTTGGATTTCACAACAGTATGAATACTTCTAGTGCCTAGAATCTCTAGACATTAAAAGTCAACACAAGCTAAAGATCCAAGAATGAGCAACCCAAAATCAGACATGTTTCTAAAACAAAATGTTTCAAAGACAGACTGACCATTTTCCTGATGCCAGCAGGTGATTCTCCAAATATATCGTCACAAAACATGTCTGCTGACCTCTCACTCTGCAAAGTATAGTAAGCGGAAGTCAATTATCAGATAAAGCCAGCATTTAAGAAATGGACTAAAGGAGCAAAAAGCAAAACCAGAAGGCAAAATACTTCGTCGACTAATTCTAAAGCAAAACCCTAACACAAAAGCAACATGACTTAAGAGCTCCGACAAAATAGTGTTGAAAGAGAAATAAGGAGAATGAGTACCACAAAAAAGGAAAACCCAATTTAAATCTCAATTTCTTGTGAACACACCTTTGGTGTACCCTGTCCCAATCCACCAGCTCCAGAAGCCTGCTCGTCAGCAATATGACCAGCTTGTAGAGGTGATTTCCCAACAGAAAACGCTGGCTCATCAACATGGACATCTGTACCATTGGTTTGACCATCAAATGACACTGTTATGGCATTATCTCCAGCTGCAGGCTTCTGAGTAGACTGATCCATAAGAAGCTCAGCTAATGTCAACAAATAAGAAAACATAATTAAGACCAGAAATTCAATCCAGCAAAGAGAAACTTGCAGAGAGTCAACATATAAAATCTCAGCATATAGATCAGGATGGCCTGAGGTGCAATGCGAAGCTTCATAAAACATGAGTTGCGACAGAATCCAACTAAACATCCTAAGTTCCATAACATGCATATTAAGAGTTCAAATCCAAAATTAAACTCATTAAAGAAGCAGTAACTTGGCACTTAAACTCAGCAAAAAGGGCAATTAATTAGCAAAATTAGACATTCAAAGCTCATATGCATGCATAACAGACAGTAAACCTGAAGGTAAAAACAAAGTCAAAAAAAAGGAATCAACCAAAGACCTTAGTTGTTCCGTAGAGCTCTAGATCAGGCCAAGGTTGAAACATGAAATACAGTAAAACATAATAGAACACAATATCAGGAGATGCTTCTTTTTTTTTTTTGAGAATGGTCACAAATATACGAGGAGATCTTAACTCGAAGAAGTTATACCTACGTCCCCAGATTGAGTAATTGGCTCCTTCTGGGACTGCTGATTCTTATATTTATCAAGAATAGCTTGCCTGCGCCTTCTGCTCTCCTCCTTAATTCTTTCAAGTTCTTCTTCGTCTTCCTGTTCAGCAAGCTGGAAAGCAATTTTTTCCTGATAGTCCTCCTGTTCAACTTCATCTCTGCAATACAGCAAAAATGAGAAAAATAAAAACCATGCATTAAGGAAATCAACTCCGCTGATGAGTTTCTGAATACCAAAAGTACCTAGTTAAAAATTAACAATACCTTTTTGATTTCTCACTGTCTGCCTCTACAGCTTTTTGCTTTGCATTTTCATTTTTTGCGTGATCGCTCCTCCTTTCTCTCTGATTGTCAATCTCATTATGTCTATTACGTCTATTATAGGCAAAACCATCATCAAGGTCATCATATCTCCGGTGCCTGCTAGACTTATCACTATATTTATCTCTATCTGCCTCCCTACTTCGTCCTCTGCTTTCCCTATCCCTGTTCCTCCTTTCTCTCTCCTCCCTCTCTCTGAAATTATCTCTATCTCTATCTCTATCTCTCTCCCTCTCCCTCTCCCTCTCCCTCTCCCTTTCCCTTCCCCTCTCATATTCCCGTTCTCTATCCCTCTCCCTTTCCCTATCTCGAGCTTTCTCTCTTTCCCTCTCTCTGTCCCTCTCCCTCTCCCTTTCCTTCTCCATCTCCTTATCTCTTTCCCTTCCCCTTTCTCTGTCCCTTTCTCTAGCCAACTCGCGCTCCCTGTCTTTCTCTCTCAATCTATCCCTTTCATTCTCGATGCTACTCTCCCGATACCTGTCTACACTATCCCTGCTATAATACCTGTCCCTAGAGTGTCTGTTGCAACTAGAATTATGCTCCTTCTCCACATCCCTTGAAGACTCTCGGCTCCCATGTCGATAGTCCTTGTTGCGTCCATTTTTTTCATCATCGAAGTTACTTCTATATCTGCTTTCCTTCTCATATGCATCATCTTTCTCGCGGGACTTCGGTACGAGGAAAGACTCCTCCAATACGCTTTTGGATCGCGATCTTCCTCTAAACCTATCAGGTGACTTGGATAACTTCGTAACATGTCTGTCTTCAAGGTGCTCATCATGAGAAGATGATACCCCAACAGATCTATGCCTCTTTCCAGAACTTTCAGGAGTCAAAGATTTTCTTTCATCCTGTAAATGGCTCTCATCATCATCGTAGCTCTTTTGTTTTCTACCTTCTTCACCAGCATAAATATCTTCCTTTTGTGGTTTAGAGTCCAATTTATGAAATTCATCTATGCAACTACCATTCACAAAATGCTTGTCACTAGACTTTCTTTCTCTAGAATTATCAGCCTTTTTACTTTTCCTTTGCTCATCATGCCGTCCTGAAGCAGTGGAATTCCGGTCAACTTTTTCCACTGCAGGTCCCTGTCGTTGAGCTTCATGCAATTCCTAAACAAGAAATGTGGGCAGAATTAAATGATAAAATACGGTTTACAACATTTTACCATTAAAAAAAAAAAAGAATAAACTTTTAACAATCACTAGAAAGTTTCTTACTAATAAAAAGAAAGCCCTCGGTCATCAGGAAATGCATAGAGTAACTTTGCCCCCAACAAAGTAATGGTGAAGTTCAAAGCTCTGTATGGAATACATAATTCTCATGTCTATTTGTGCAACATACTTATTAATCAAACAGTTGAAACAAATATTAAATTTAGCACATCTTTGACTCTGAAAATCGTAAAAATCCAAGCACGGGACCTCTTTCTTTTTGGTTGCTTATAGTTCAAATAGAAATAGTGCATTTAAAAACATTAGTTCTTCCCTACTTACAAGAAAAAGGATGTAAGTTATATACACGACAGTGTGATGATTTCTTAACACCATCAATGTAACCTGTTATAGCAGGTTACTTACCATTTATTATAGGTTACAAATCAATGCTAGTATTAAAGAGAGTTACCTGCAGCTACCTTTCAAGTGGCTGATTGTGACAGCTTAAAAATTTTAAGCAATCAAATAACTTAAAACTTAAAACAATTGCAGGTAACTCTATTTAATATAACAGTAATTGGTAGTGTACAATAATTGATAAGTAATCTGTTATAACATGTACATGTGAAGTTAAATTGGTGCTGTAAAAATTAACTGCATTGTCGGTGTATATAACTTAAACCAAACCGAAAACAATTTTAGTAATTTTTTTGAAACTAAAATAAATTGCACTGTCAATCATAACAGCAATCAAACAGGCCCTGGAAGAAAAAAAGCTAAACACGAAATATATAAGAGAAATAAGAGCTGAATGAAATCTGAACAGACCATGTCCAATTCATCACCATCACCAACTGCAGCAGCAGCAGCCACATCGTCCTCAATAATTTCACCTTCCTCCATATCATAATCGAGCCCTAAAGTAGAAACGCCAATAACAGTGCCAACTTGTTGAGGTACTTCCTCTATTTCATCATTCGGTTTACCCGTTACCTTATCGGGTTTCGAATCGGATTTCTCTTCGTGTTTTTTGCTGTGGTGGCGGTGGTGGCGGTGGTGACGGTGGTGGCGGTGCTTACGGCGTTTGATTGGTTCTTCTGTGCCGTCTTCATCAGAGGGAGAAGATCGACGGTGCTTGCGACATGAAGGTTCATTGGAATCGCTGGCCATGGCGGATGGTGAAAGGAATGATTTTTCAATTGGAATATTAATGAATTAGGGTTAGGTTTTTGTTCGAACGAGAGTTGAAATTATTCGGGTCGTGAAAGATCCGATTGAGATTTGATGATTGATGATGTTGATAGAGTTATAGAGAGAGGGGAGCGAAGGGAGTAATTTGGAAATAAGGGAAAGAATACTAATTGGTCACTGAAGTTTAGTAAATTATACATAGACCCCTAAAGTTTGTTGATTTTTCTGAAATTTGAACAGATGGGGGAGAGTAGATTCTTTTCGCCATAGCGAACCCACGTTAAGCAGGGGCAGACTTAGGGATTGTTTGGTAGGGTGTATAAGAATAGTATTGAATAATGTGTATTAGTAATGCATGAATTAGTATTGTAGAGACTTTTTCTTATCTACTGTTTGGTATGATTTATTAAAAATTAAAATGCATTGCATAATCTTTAAGAAAATTAGTTGTTTACACAAATGATATCCATATTCTTTAGCTTTAAGAGATTTTAAGGATAATTTTGTGTTTAACCATGCTAATTGTTTAACCAGAAAATAAGAATTTCGGTCAAAGCTTAATTTTAGAAGAACTCAGGTTACTGATAATCAAATAAGGAAATGACTAAGTAATGAAAAGGAAGAATTAAATCGAAAGGTAGCAAAGTAAGCAAAGCAAAGTAAATTAGTGTATTCCAATAATATCATGTGTCCGTTACAAATGTTATTCTTCTCCTTTTATAGCTATTTCTAAGTACTATGTTTCTTTCCTCTCATAATAGAGCCATTATGAGCAATTAATGACATTAATGTAACGTTATAATTGGCAATCGTAACTGTTTCGTGAAGATTCTATAACGTTTTCCATCGTTGATGCTCATTAATTACAGATAATATGTATCTGTACTTTTTGCTATCTAGGTTCATTCCCCCGATGTCTATTCAAATTACCAAGAGATCCGAGTAACCGCTCCTTTTTGTTTTCTCGAATCTTTGCCCGTGCCTATTAAGGCTCGTGTATTTTTGAATACTCTTTGCTAGCTGTCATTCTTTCATTGATCCATGTGTCTTGACATATCAACACATAATTAATTCCAAATGTTAACTTGATTTTTCCCAATATATAGTTCCCTCCACTTACCATTTATTCATCAATTGAATATTTGGAAAGTGGATCTCATTAAAGCGGGATTTTTTGCCGCCATTCTACATATCATTATACCTTCTCCAGAATTGACGCTTCGCATGTCACTTCCATTTAATGCATTTGACACGTGGTGACTTTTGATTGATTCTGCAACCCTTCAGCGCCTTTTAAGGCTCTTCTACGGCTTACATCAATCACGAAGTGACAGTTTTCATTACGACGTTCCCATCATTACCTTTTTGTTTGACGGTTGCTTCTGAGTATAAATATACCATTTGTCTTTTCTTTCTCATAAAAGTTGTCCATCTTTGAGTATTCAATATTCCCTTCTTCCTGGTACAACTATGTCTTCTTCGAACCCTAATCCTCAAAAAATTCCTATTATTGATTGTCGCACCTCCTTTTTCCGCACCCGAGGGGCGCAAGGGAGTTTTTTCCAATTAAAGGACAATCGAAACGGGATTGGTTTAATTATTTAAGAGTCGCCACTTGGGAGATTTAGGGTGTCCCAAGTCACCAATTTTAATCCCGAATCGAGGAAAATAATGACTCTATATTATAGTCTGCGTACCAGAAATCCGGATAAGGAATTCTGTTAACCCGGGAGAAGGTGTTAGGCATTCCCGAGTTCCGTGGTTCTAGCACGGTCGCTCAATTGTTATATTCGGCTTGATTATCTGATTTTATACAAGTATGAACTTATGTGCAAATTTTAACTTTTAACCGCTTTATTATTATTGTTTTTACAAGAGTGTGAACATCGCTTAAAACACGTCTTGGGACTGCGTCACATGAAATGCACCCACAATCCGGAACGCATTTTATTTGATGTTTTGAGATTTGGATTTGGGTCGCATGAAATGCACACCCGAGCTTAAGAAAGTAAATTATTAAACACGCGCCTAAATAGACTATCGCGTTATTATTTTGGGAAGGCCACGAAATTCACTAAGCGGCCCTCCTGAATTCTAAGTAATTTAAAACAAGTATTTACTGAGGGCCCCGCAATTTGTATTTTTATTCGGCGAGGCTCATATCATTCTTATTTTTAAAAGGAATTTGCAACGTCATGGAAATGCATCTCGGGCCACGCCATAATCGATGTGCCCGTGACTAGAGACATATTTCGACTCCGTTGAGATTTGGATTTGGGTCACATANAGGGTAGGGTTTTCTGCTTCTTCTTCTAAAGAAGAAGGAGCGTGAACAGTGTCCAAACCCCAAAATTTTCAAAAAAAGTCCCCCGTTCCTTTGTTTCATCCGTGTATTTAGCATGGGTTTGCCCAGAAAAATGAGCCCACGCGTGGTGGGGTTCAAGGCATATGTCCCCCACGCGTGGTGGGGTTCCCCACGTGTCCTGGACACGGTTTATTATGGGCTAGGTCCGAAAATTAGGCCTAAAACCGGGTAGTTTGAACCCGAATATTATTCTTTTGCCCGGACCCGAGAAATAGGAACACGTTGCTTAACTAGTCCTATGTAAGCAAAATAACTACCNTTCCCCACGTGTCCTGGACACGGTTTATTATGGGCTAGGTCCGAAAATTAGGCCTAAAACCGGGTAGTTTGAACCCGAATATTATTCTTTTGCCCGGACCCGAGAAATAGGAACACGTTGTTTAACTAGTCCTATGTAAGCAAAATAATTACCAAAAATAAGACTAGTATTTAAGCAAAACTATATCTTTTTAAATATTTTTTCAAGATTTAAAATAGCTACAAAATATTAATAAAACTATTTTTGTAATTTTCGTTTTTTAAATATTAAGATAAAATATGAAGCAATATTTTTTGTATTTTTCAAAGTTAAAATGACTATAGAATATTAATAAAACTATTTTTTTGTAATTTTCGTTTTTAATAAAGACAAAAATATAAAGTAATATTTTTTTTTGTATTTTTCCAAGATTAAAACGACTACAAAACATTAATAGAATTATATTTTTTTGTAATTTTCGAATTTATATAAAGTACCAAAACAAAGTACAATTTTTGTATTTTTCAAGTTTATGAGAAATACATAAACTAAAATTTATATATATATTTTTTGAAATTTTCTTTTTGCACCGAAATAAAGTAAAAAATAGTTAAAAATGGCTATATTAGTCCTAAATTAGATATTTAAGCTAAAAATGTAAAAATTCCCGGGGAGGGTCAAAAATCACGTGCTTACATTGATGAACTTCCCCTTGCTCCTACTAGAAGCAGGAGAGGGGGAAGATTCTATGTTCGGTTGCTATTAGAGGTCCTTCTTCTTCTCTACCTAGTTCCACTCCTTCTTCATCTTCTAGAACTAAGGCTTCTCTGACACATAGGTCTTTTGCCAGAAGTAGGGATTCCAATGAGTCAATCCGTGAACCTACAGTAGATTAGATTATCCCTTCTGAACTTTCTTTTTATACTGATAGAGAATCAATTAGGAACCAGGTTTCCTCTATGTCCTCTCATGAGCGTGCTGATGTTTTCCCTTCACATATTACTGATGGCTTAATTTCTGTTATTCGTAAATATTGCCATTGGAGTTTCGATTTCCCAATTCTGATCCCTAATGCAAATCAACGGATTACTTCTTTCAAAGTTGGTTTTTCCTTTGTGTATACGTACCCTTTTATCTTGGGCTTTATACCCCTTACTGATCTAGTCATTATTGAACTCTGCCTCTTCTTCAATGTGTGTTTAGGACAAATCGGCCCTATTGTATGAAGGGTCGTTGCATGTTTAAGGTATTTGGCCAATTTGGCTCAATTGCCTTTCATCTTTTTTAATCCGATCCATCTCTACTCCCCTAAGTTATTCCGGTATGGGATTTTTACTTTGGTGGCGAGGAGTAAGAGGGTTTTAGTCAGCCCTGAGGATAATAAGGATCGTGGCTGGTATGCCAAATTTGTTGTTGCCCCTACGGTAGGGTTAGTAGGTGAAGAAAATATATCATTCACTGAAAAGTGGAATTTTGCACGTAAGTTTTCTTTACAACTTTCTTTCTTCTCTTTTTTCCTTTTTAGAAAGGGGTTGTACTTCTCGTGACTGTTTCACTTTTCTTTTTTCAGCAACCATGGGAATTGTTGAAGAGATTCCCAATTTCCGTAGTCGGGTAGAGAAATTGTTGACAATTGCTCCGATGGAAGTAGAAATACCTTTCAAACAGGTTTGGTTGGAAGGTTAAGACTCACGGTAAAAACTTTATTCATTTCCTTCTATTTTTATTCATTCTTTCTGTAGAATCTATTTTACCTTTCTTTTTATCAGGGTTTCCTATTCGTGGTGTAAGCGCTGAGTCAATCGCAGCTTTTAGACTTTCTTTGGCAAGAGCTTAGGAGATAATTTTGAGTTCTTCATCGAAAAGGAAAGCTGACAAACCCTAAGATTCCGAGGAAGAGGAGGAACAAGATGGAAGTTCTTTAGTTAGAAGGCCGCGGGCTAGAAGACGCGTCATTTCGGATGACGAAGTTACTCCTCCTCGTTCTGCTCCCGTGACCAAGCTTGTTGAAGCCACTTTAGTGAGTTCTGATGAAGAGACTCTCATGGCAGCTCGTGACTCTAATGAACAACTTTTTTCGCGTGGGTTTGATAATGAAGGTTTTGATTTGGTTTGTGAGGAAGTACCTCTTGCCTCTTTACCCGTATCTATCCCAATGGAATGCCCTTTCCATGTTCTTACTGTTGTTGTTTCTGCTCCGCCTCAAGTCATTATGACTTCCTCTACAGTCCCTGCTACTAATATTTCTCGAACTGAAGTCGGTTCTTCAAGTGGAAGTAGAGTGATGAAGCAAATTACCATTGAAGTTCCTGACGATGGTAATCTTCTAAAGAAGTCAGGCCAAGCTGACGTATGGTTGAAACCCTTGATTGGTCCAGTTGAAAAGTCCAAGCTAAAAAGCCATAGTTCTTTGACTTGGATAAATGACATCGTACAATCATCATTGAAGGTATTGATTTCTTTTCATGTTCTATCCCATTTTTCCTTTTGCTAAGATTTT